AGAGAAGATTGAGGAGGGACAGTTTTCAGGTATCTAAAAGGGTGTCATAAGGAGGAGGGAGAAAACTTGTTCATCTTGGCCTCTGAGGATAGAACAAGAAGCAATGGGCTTAAACTGCAGCAAGGGAGGTTTAGGTTGGACATTAGGGAAAAAGTTCCTAACTGTCAAGGTAGTCAAACACTGGAATAAATTGCCCAGGGAGGTTGTGGAATCTCCATCTGTGGAGATATTTAAGAGTAGGTTAGATAAATGTCTATCGGATGGTGTCTAGACAGTATTTGGTCCTGCCAAATTAGGCTTTTTTGCTCTTCAAAAGGTCATTGACATGTTGGCCCTCTTATATGGCTCAACCTCCCCCTAATCGACCATATGCATTCCCAGTGTCCTTATATCAACTCAGTATTCTGTTCTCATCCCTTCCCCCCTCTCCAAAAATGTATAGCAAGTCAAGAAAATTGTAGTAGCTTTTGTAGATTAATATTTTGTGGCCACTTGCAATTGTGGATGCCGTTTATGCCTCAGGGAAAGTTGGCTAGTTTCTTTGCATGCAGTGGTAACTTAAGCTAATAGCCTCATTTTCTTACCAGGTCCTGAAAGAGATCACCGAGCAAGATGTGTTTGTCAAGAAGGCCACCACAGCTGCACTCTTAATCAGTGGAGATGTAGAGTCTCAAGAGAACCAACTGCCACTAGTGAAAAAGAAAAAGCGAATTTTGAGTAGTAACACCAGCTTCTTCTCAGGCTGCACCCCCATCAAAGAAGAGGACAACTGAGGGCAATGGATGTATCATGTTGCATTTCCTTTTTCCATCTAAGACACTAACTCTTAAATGATTAACCGGGTCCATAAACTAAAACATCAGAAGAAACAAGTTTCAGCTACTGGCAGAAATATGGGTGTCGTGGTATAGCAGCACTCCCTCGGTTGTTTCTCTAGGTCTGCCTGAGCAGCTGTGGAGAGAAGAGCTATTTCTCTTTAGAATATTTAGTGAGCTGAGTAGACTCACCTAGCCCATGCATTCCAGTTGCCTGTCTCATCCTGAACTGTGATATTTTACCTGCATTGCTCTTAAAAGATTGTTTTGAATTGCACTGGTCATTGAGTCCTTCCTTCAAATACGGAAAAAAGGAATTCCTGCCCCAGTTACCATGTGAGCCACCTTGGTGCTTTTATCTCGCTGAGGTACTGTTTGCTATGCTAGCTGGTTTTAAGACTACGAACTTTAGTTTCCTTTAGACCACTGGTGCATCATTAATGAAATGAGACTCTCACTAGTCTGTGTTTGTGAATATTAGTAATTTTATTCTTTTTAATTTTTGTAGTGTTAATAAAGGAAGTACTAAAAATGCCTAAGCTCTCAGCGTATTATATCCTGAACAATTCTAACAGCACCTACTCCACAGTCTCAGTAAATTCTTAGCCCAGGCTGATCTGACTAGACAGTAAGGTTTGATCACAACAGTGGGATAACTGCAACTCTCAAAGCTGGTCTGACTACATGCCCAATTATACAGCAATGGATGTAGTTAAGATTTCCAGCAATTGCTCCAGCCAAGCATAGGGCTTGATGTTCGACTGAATTGTGATCAATGGTTATACTTTATTTGAAAGAACAGGGAAAGTATACATACAATATGATGGGGGCTAAATTAGCTACAACTAATCAGAAAAGAGATCTTGGAGTCATCGTGGATAGTTCTCTGAAGCTTCCACGCAGTATACAGTGGCAGTCAAAAAAGGAAAGAGGATGTTAGGAATAATTAAAAATGGGATAGAGAATAAGATGGAGAATTATCTTATTGCTTTTATATAAATCCATGGTATGCCCACATCTTGAATACTGTGTCCAGATGTGGTCACATCTCAAAAAAACAAATACTGGCATTAGAAAAGGTTCAGAGAAGGGCAACTAAAATGATTAGAGATTTGGAATGAGTCCCATATGAGGGGAGATTAAAGAGACGGGGACTCTTCAGCTTGGAAAAGAGAAGACTAAGGGGGGATATGATAGAGGTCTATAAAATCATGACTGGTGTGGAGAAAGTGAACAAGGAGAAGTTATTTACTTGTTTACTTGTTCCCATAATATAAGAACTAGGGGCCACCAAATGAAACTAATGGGCAGCAGGTTTAAAACAAATAAAAGGAAGCTCTTCTTCACACAGCACACAGTCAATCTGTGGAACTCCTTGCCTGAGGAAGTTGTGAAGGCTAGGACTATAAAAGGGTTTAAAAGAGAACTAGATACATTCATGGAGGATAAGTCCATTAATGGCTATTAGCCAATTTGGGTAAGGAATAGTGTCCCTGGCCTCTTGTCAGAGGGTGGAGGTGGATGGCAGGAGAGAGATTGCTTGATCATTTCCTGTTTGGTTCATTCCCTCTGGGGCACCGGGCATTGGCCACTCAGCAGACAGGATACTGAGCTGGATGGACCTTTGGTCTGACCCAGTATGGCTGTTTTTATGTTTCTGGCCCAGGTTTCCACTCAAAATTTGTAGAGCCACTCCATAGTCCTTGATTGATACCTTCACCGTGCATTGTGCGACTGCTCACCAAGCCAGGGATAATGCCTCATTTGGATGAGCGTTGTTACAATCAGTGGTTGGTTCAGACCCTGCCTCCTATCCTTGTGAATCACCAAATGGGAACACACATGAACAAGCACTCGAAGAAAAAAACGGTTCCTTACCCCACAACTCTTGTTCTTCAAAATGTGAGGTTCACATCTATTCTAAATAGCCAACCTTCTTTCCCTCTGGAGTTACCAGCAAGAGGAAACTGAGGAGAGGACGGGTCTGCAGGCACTATGTTGAACACGATGGAGATGTGACTCCAGGGAAAACCGAGCCTAACCCTACAAGTGGTTTTTATGGAAAAATCTGGCCACAATGAACACACTCACTCCTAATTGGAAACAACCTGAACAGCACATCTCAAAGAACAACAGTTATGTAACTGCTTTTTTTCTGCAGGTAGTTAGATCTTCAAGTGATTACTCATGTGCATCCCAATATCTGTGCATACACATTGGCTACGTCTACATTGGCATGATCTTGTGCAAATACTCTAACACAAGAGTTCTTGCATTAAAGTATTTGCGCAAGGAAGCATCTACACTGGCATGTGCCTTTGCACAAGAGCACCTGTGCCAGTGTAGACGCTCTCTTGCACAAGAAAGCTCTGATGGCCATTTTAGCCAGTGGGCTGTCTTGTGCAAGAAATTCATGTTGCCTGTCTACACTGGCCTCTTGCACAAGAACAGTTGCGCAAGAGTGCTTATTCCTGAGCGGGAGCATCATAGTTTTTGTTCAAGAAGCCCTGATTTCACACATTAGAACATCAGTGTTCTTGCGCAAGATCTCGCGGCCAGTGTAGACAGGCAGCAACTTTTTGAGCAAAAGCGGCTGCTTTTGTGCAAGAGTGCACCAATGTAGACACAGCTGTTCCATGCACGATTGTCAGAAAACTTTTCTCTAGCAGCATCCTGTAGTGACCTCTCATGGCATCTCATATGTATTCCTGACCTGATTGATTCCCGCTTTAGTTCCTTTGTCAGTGATGGGTTGTTGGAATGTCTTGACTCCTTGCTTTCTAAGTAGTTCTTCCCTAGTGCTTGGTTTAACTCTATCTACAAAGAGCTTATCAGTTCATCTAGACAGTGGTTCTGAAGGGGAAGAGGGGTTCTCCTTCCACTTGTTTGCTGAAGCCTGTGAGAGATGCAGCAGCCCCAAGGCTTTAAGTAGTGTACTAAGTGAGGGAGGCAACCTGCATGTAGCATACAGTGCCTTAGAGAAGGCCACCAACCAGGTAAGTGCAGTATTTGCAAGGGGTTTAAGCCATGGACTAAATGCAATACTAGCAGCTTAAACTTCATGCAGTGAGCACTCAGGTTTCATGATGCAGCTTTGACTCACTCGGTGTAGAGTGCCTTGATGCAGAAGGCTTTGAGGGTGTTCCTGAGGACGGAGTACCAGATCCTCCTCCTCCTCCCTTAAGGAACTGTCTGTCCTGCCTTTACTACGGTTGGACCCAAATTACCTCAGCCCAATGATCCTGAGCATGGTAGGAGTGGACTATTCTATCCAGTTCTGTTCCCTCCCTTTCCACTAGTGCCCTGTCCTTCAGGAACCCTTTTCACAAGCAACTTCTCATCTAGGAGGCACAATTGGTCCTTGCTGTAGGTGCAATACAGGTTCATTCAGGGGTGGAGGGTTCTACTCCCAGTACTCCTTTATTCCAAAGACAGCCTACACCCCCTCCTGAACCTCAGGAACTTTATAGTCTCCCTAGCTTCCATTACCTGTAGCCTGGATGCAGGTTACAGGTATGCTGCCTTCACTCTCTAGGACATGTACTTTCACATTATCCTGCACCATAGGCAATTCATGGGGTTTTTTTTTGTTTTGTTTTTTTCCTAGTGGCAAATAGACACTACTAATTGAGGATGTTGCTATTCACCCTGGCCACAGCACCTCAAATCTTCACTTTGTGCATAGCAGTGGTGGCAGCATTTCTACAATGACACTGGGTGCAGGTTTTCCCATATCTGGACAATTTGATTAAGGGCAGGGGGAAGAGACACCAGCTGTTCTGGTATGTGGACCCAGTCACATTCTTGCAACTCAGCCTCCTCCTCAAAGTGCCAAAATCCACTCTTGTGCCTACATAATGAATCTAGTTCATCAGGGTCCTGCTTGATTCTACTTGGGCAACAGCATCCCTAGCCAAGTCCCGCTTTCAAGCCTCTGAGTGCCTCCTCTCAGATGTGCCCAGTTACACTTGTGCACAATTGCATGAGGCTTCTTGGGCACATGACCTTGTGCATGCCCAGCTCCACCTGTGTCCGCTCCAAGCATGGCTGGTGTAAGTGTTCAGACTGTCCAGGGATGACACCAACTTCATGATCACTATGCCACCAGCAATCCCTGGAATACCATAATTTAATTTCTTTATAAAATACACTTAAATGAGATATGGCAGATTTGTATCAAAACACTTCATTTGAAATTCACTTTAATGCAGACAAAATAGAGGTCACACATGAACAGAAAAAATGTTCAAGAACTCATCCACAAACAAACCAAATTTTTTTCCACTTATTTTAAAACTTGATCCCAACTTCAAACTTAGTTTAAGGGAAAAAAAGGCTTTTCAAGTTCTACACCTACAACTAAGCCTTTAAAAATTCACATACAACACAGTGTATGAAGAAAAGCATCTTGCAAAAACTGTACTTTCAAAGCTACAAGTATTTCTACTTAAATCACAGGAGACCAAGTGGAAAATATTTTGGAAAGCTGTACATGACAAGACAAACTAAATAACATCCATCTATCATTGTGAGTGAGCACCAAAAGATATTTTGTATCATACAGAAGGTTAAAACCAACTTATTACAATGACATCCTAGCAATATTGTTCTTCTCCTGATTCCATTAACTGAATATTTACACATTTTCTGTCTCAATTCATGAACACTTTGACAAGTCCCAACTCAGACTCAATATGAATCACACCTCTGAAAAAAAATGGATACTGGACTGTATTCCTTTACAAATTATCATAATCATCATCATCTTCATGCTTTCTTTTCAACGGATTTGCCTCGCTGGCTGCATTCTGTGATACCATATTTGTAGTAATAAGAATGTTTTTTGATCCAATTAGCGAAGGATTAATCAGAACATTCTGAACTGTTGGCGTAGTAGGTGTTGCTGTATTTAAAGTAAAATTAAAAGTGTTATTAGCTGCCAGTTTATCTCCATACAACAATACAACTTCTTTTCTTTCAGGTTGTGTTAGTCTAGTGTGGTTGCTTTTTCGTATTGTTTAAACAGGTTAATCTTTAAAGGAAGTTTTTGCTGTTTGTTTGAACATGGGTATTTTGAAGTAGGATCTATGACAATTTTACTGATTTGAATTCTCTTAATTTAGCAGCAGTAAGTAGGTGAATTGTTTCAATAGCTAAGTAGGACTAATAATGGTTTTGGTACATTTGTTCCAGTTTTTGAAAAGGCAAGCTTAATTCTGGCATTTCATGCCTTCTGAGTGCTTGACTTTTCATTAGTATTCTTTTCATGTAGACTCCTAGGCTTTTAAAAGAGCAACCAGAACAAACAAATTCCCTATTAACCACATATGCCATCAATATGGTTAGAATATCTAGCTCCACCATGCAGATCTCTTGCAACTCAATAAAAGAAAACCAAAATAATGTGTGCGATCTTGCAAAGAAGTGTTTTGTAACTTATTATACCTGATTTGACTGTTGTCTGAGAGGATGGGATCTGTACAGTGAACCTTTGACCTGTCAGTGATACTGGAGTGCCAACTTTTGTTGAAACAGCCACAGTTTGTGCTGAAGGAGTTCCTGAAACACAGGATTTCATTAGAAGACTCAGTGCAGGCAAATTCATATTTTTTTTTTTTTATATAAGAGAGAGAAACAACAACTTCAGCTTTTGGGCACATTTTATGTAATAAAGATATCAATATTATTATTTAAAGTAATATACTTCATAGGATCTAGATCAAATCTAGTTAAGTGGCTAGATATGCAGAGTAAGCTGTGTGCAGCAGCATGCATCAATTTGAGTATGAACACAAATGATGAAACTCCCAGGTGGCCACAAGAAGATGCACTCAGAGGTACTGATGTGCACAATTACATGTATAAAATAACTGCATGTGCCCAACTTAAATTGCACTTTTAACTTCCATTGCACTTTTCTAAGAACACAGCAGGTTGTGAGAATATCAAAGTTCACTGAAATGGGGAGTAGGAAATAAACTACTGTTCCTTAAAAAGCATACTCCCAAGATGGTTTAACATGAGAATAGACTTATATTCAAAACTGTTCCAGAGGTTTCAAGTTTTTCCTAAGAAAGGTCAATATGGCAAACCATCACTGAGCACTCTTACCTAAAGTAGGAGTGCTAGGTCTACTACTTACAGCACCCACACTCAGTCGGGGTACTGTTATTCTTCCTGCAGAAGAAGAGACCTGTAAAGAGAAGACACATGCACTCAGATTAGAATCACCATTTCGGTGTTGGAATCCCAGATTTCTACGTACATATGTACCCTCTGCAACAAAATATGAACATGTGATCATGTTCAGTCTATTGCAACTAAGGCTGTTAAGAGGCAGGTAATTCACAAAGGGTATGTCTACACTACCCCGCTAGTAATGTAGTCATCTGCAGTTGCAAATGAAGCCCGGGAATTGAATTTTCCGGGCTTCATTTGCATGAAGCTGGCCGGCGCCATTTTTAAATGCCGGCTAGTTCGAACCCTGTGCCGCGCGGCATGGAGTAGCTAGTTCGGATTAGGTTTCCTAATCTGAACTAGCTGCACTCCTCGTTGTAGCTGTATGCCTAATCCGAACTAGCTACTCCGTGCCGCGTGTAGCCGCGCGGCACGGGGTTCGAACTAGCTGGCATTTAAAAATGGCGCCAGCCGGCTTCATGCAAATGAAGCCCGGGAAATTCAAATCCCGGGTTTCATTTGCAACTGCGGATGACTACATTACCCCCGCTAGTTCGAACTAGCGGGGTAGTGTAGACATACCCTAATAGTGTAATCAATAAAAAGTCTATCGACTATACAATTCCTCAATAAGGGAAGAAACGCTCAGTCCCAGTTCGGGCTGGGTCCGGGAGCTACCCCCACTGCAGCTCTGCAGTTGTAAGAGCCGCGCAGGCAGGCACCCCAGCCCCTACTACATTTAAACCGCAGAGCTGCAGTGGGGATAGGTTCCAGACCCAGCATGAGCCAGAGAAGAGCCGCGCAGGCAGGCACCCCAGCTCCTACTACATTTAAACTGCAGAACTGCAGTGGGGATAGGTCCCAGACCCAGCATGAGCCGGAGTGCCTGCCCAGTCAGAGCAGCCCCTGTCCTCAGCGACCCAGGCTGGCCACAGGCAGAGGCTGCTTTGTGGTTACCCTCCCTCCCCACCTCTGCTTATGCTGCTGCCAGGGGTGGCTGGCACCGCAGAGTGTGCTGGGGAAACCAGCTTTTAAGCCAGCTCCCTTCAGCCCCAACTCCTTCTCTCGCT